CCTCTGTAGCCCCCTCCCCCGCTACCAAAACAGTGCCAAAACCCCACCAGACACCAGACCACCACACATCCACAGGTACTACCCATCTGGCATGCCATGCTGTGCCCTGAACATACCCACTAAGGGCAGACATGTCATACAGAGATTTGTGAACACTGGGAACCTCATCAAAAATTCTAAGAAAACAATAAAAAAAACCCCAACCTGTCTCTTCAAAATACAGAAATCTATCCTGCTGAGAAATGCTATGGTAATAGTTTGTTATATTTTTCTTTACATACAGTCTGTATTTTTAACCAATTTTATAGCGCTGATGATGTTCTGGAAGGAAGATGGGTCCTCTTTACAAAAGGATATAGCTTTTGTGCTGTCTATCTTTCTGTTTCTATGTGCCTTATCAGATGATATGCTAAAAGGTAACTGAAAACTGGTGATTTTTAATTTAGAATATGTCTGAACAGAAATCCATCCTCTAGGAAACCTATACCACAAATAAGAAACTTTTCAGCTGTTTAGGAGAGTCAACTGAAAATTTTCAAAACTTTTCAAAAAAATAAAGGCTCCCTTTTTTCTTTTGAAAATATTTTCTATTTTATGAGAAACTGCTCTAAGAACCATGGCTGATAGCCCATAACACAGAGAAAACAGTCAGACTTTAGAAGATGCTGCACATCTTTTTTCTGTTCTTGTTTTATTGACTTCATATATCAATCACAACTTGATACATGGGTAGTATAGCATTGCTCAGGATACCCTTCTGTAAGGAGAAAAGGGAAAAATGTCCATGGATTTGAGAAGAGTATGTTCTAACAAGGTGTGGTGGTTTGACCCTGGCCAGATGCCAGGTGCCCACCAAAGCCGCTCTATTACTCTTGCCCCCCTCAGCTGGACAGGAGAGAGAAAATATAACAGGCACGTGGGTCAAGATAACGACAGTTTAATAAACCAAAAGCAAAGGCCGCGTGTGGAAGCAAAGGAAAACAAAAGATCTTATTCTCTACTTCCCATCAGCAGGCGATGTCCAGCCACTTCCTGGGCAGTAGGGCTCCAGTACGTGAAGCGGTTGCTCTGGACGACAAACGTAAAACAAATGCCCCTGCCTTCTTCCCCTTTTCTCTAGCTTATATTGGTGAGCAGACGTCATATGGTATGGAATGTCCCTTTTGTCAGTTTGGGTCAGCTGTCCTGGCTATATCCCTTCCCAAGTTTTTTACCCACCCCCAGCCTACTGGGGAAATATTGGAGAGACAGCCTTGATGCGGTGTGAGCCCTGCTCAGCAGTAGTCAAAACACTGGTGTGTTAGCAACACCTTTATAGCTACCACTACACAGCACAATGAGGGCTCCATCTCAGACAGACCTATTACAATCTCCACCCCTTATTCCATACCATTTGTGTTACGCTCATGTACCACATAATTTAATGCACATCTTTTAACCATTTCATTGTATTTAATTCTCATTACTGAAATTCCTTCTTACCGATACTTAGAACTTAAGCTACATACTTAAAGCATCTTTATTTCCAGCATAGAGATTTATACATTCTCATTAACTACTATCCCTTGTCCTTTAGCAGATAGATAGTCTTCTTCCACTCCCCCCAGTCTAAAACTTGGGTCCCATCTATCAAGATGAGTGTTCAGGACAGGAGAAGTAGTATGTTCAATTGTTGGGCACCAGCATTGGCTTGGTTTGGGTCATCGCTGCACTCGTCTGGTTCCTTGCGAAAATCACTCTTTGGCAGTTCGTCCTGCTACTTTACTTCCTACAACATATAAATTACTTTTCAGCAAAGGTTAAATCTCCTTTTTGGCACCCAACGTGGGGCATGAAGGGTTAATGAACCAGGGGGGAGAGTGAGCAAGTGGCTGTGTGGTGCTTAGTTGCGGGCCAGGGTTAAACCATGACACAAGGGCACAATTAAAATGAAAGATAAACAAAGTGGGGTTTAAAATATTAAAAACAAACCCAACTAACTAGTGAGATCTGGGAA